TTCACAGAACTCACAGAGAGTAACTATGTTTGCATCTGGAACCTAGTGACACAGTGACTAAAACACCTGACCGCCACCTGAAAGACTGGTCGTTCAAACCCACCAGCTGCTCTGCAGGTGTAAGGATTGACAGCTTTGGAAACCCTATGGGGCAGTTCTACTCTGTCTTAGAGGGTCACTATGAGTCACAATGAACTTGACAGCAGTGGGTTGGGTTTGGTTGGTTGGTTTGATATGTATATTTAGAGTTACCTATTTGTTGTATCAGACGGTGTTTCACTGCTGTTCATAAGCTTTTTGGCGGCCAGTTCTTTGAGAAGTGGAGGGCCCCTTCCTTCCTCTGAGTCTCTTGGTCTGGAAGCTCTGCTGAAACCTGTGGGCGACCCTGCTGGTGTTTGACCTACAAGTGTCAGAGCCTCCATCCTTCCGGCAACATGCCGGCCACCACAGGACGACAAACTGGCATTTATTATAATGAAAAGAAAGAATAAAACTCAGGAGACGCATAGGGGAGGTCTGGGGCTGTCCCCAGCAGCAAGCAACTTCCTGAGATCAGATGTGCTCACCAACCAGGAAGCCCCTACACTGCTGTGCTCAAAGCCTGTTACTGGCTTCATTTCTCAGTCATGATTGGGCCCTTGTTGGGCAGAAATGATCACGTGAATTACCAAAGGTACACAACTGACTAGTCATGTCCCTACTCACTTTCACAAAATTTCAAGTGTTACCTGGCCTTTATAGATAACAAAGAGACCTTCATTGCTCAGGAAATTCCAAGGGTTATCTTTCAGGAACCAAAGACAAAAGTCAAATCGCGTTCTTGTCTCACAGGTATAAAGATCTTGTCCTTTTCCCCCAGTGTGGGACAATTTCACCCAATGCCAGGACTCCGCGTGGAGATGGTTGAGCCCTTTGTTATTACTGCATGGTAGTTCACCTACAAACAGAACAAGGGGAGACTGCAGCGTTTAAAACCAGGAAGGGAGTGTGTCAGTGTTGTATCCTCTCACCATACTAATTGAATCTGTGTGCTGAGCAAATAATCCGAGAAGCAGGACTGTATGAAGAAGAACAGGGCATCAGGATTGGAGAAGACTCATTAGCAACCTGCGATGTGCAAAGGACATAGCTTTGTTTGCTGAAAGTGAAGAGGGCTTGGATCACTTACTGCTGAATATCAAAGACTGCAATCTTTAGTATGGATTACACCTCAGTGTAAAACGAAAAGCCTCAAAACTGGGACAATAAACAACATCATGATAATGGAGAAAAGATTGATGTTGTCAGGGATTTCATTTTACTTGGATCCACAGTCAACACCAATGGAAGTAGCAGTCAGGAAATGAGACATCGTATCACACTGGGCAAACCCCCTGCAAAAGACTTCTTAAAGTGCTGAAGAGCAGAGATGTCACTTGGAAGACTAAGGTGCGCCTGACCCATGTATTTTCAATTGTCTCTTATGCATGTGAGAGCTGGACAATGAATAAGGAAGACCAAAAAAGAGTAAATGGTTTTGAGTTGTGGTGCTGGTGAAGAACGCTGAAGGTACCGTGGACTGCTAAAAGAACTAACAGATCTGTCCTGGAGGAAGTGCGGCCGGAATGCTCCTTGGAAGCGAGAATGGCCAGACTTTGTCTCACCTACTTGGGTCATGTTGTCAGAAGGGACCATTCCCTGGAGAAGGATGTCATGCCTGGTAAAGTGGAGGGTCGACGAAGAAGGGGAATGACCTCAACGAGATGGACTGACACGGTGGCTGCAACGATGGGCTCAGGTACAGCAGGGAATGTGAGGCTGGCCCAGGACCGGGCTGTGTGTCGTTCAGTTGTCCTTAGGGTCACTGTGATTCCGAACCAACTCAACAGCTCCTCACAACAGCAACAGTTCACCTCCCCTGTTACCTCACCCCACCTCCTTCACTCCATTACCGTCTTAACCCTGAGATCGTACCTCAACTAATTTCTTGAAATGTAATCTCCACGTCAAAGTCAGTTTCCTGGGAAACACAACCTACACCCTACAAGCTTTCACAGTCATCATTAATTACTTCAGCCTTTTATTCCAACATATGTATTTAGACTTCAACTGACTGATAAAATTTTAACCTTGAACACCCACATAAGCCTCTCACTCCAACTTACATCAGAACTCTGAAATCTGAAAGTAACTATTGACATATTAACATGAGCTGTGAACAACACGACTTGTTCACCTCACTAAGGCTATTACACTGGTTCATGTTAAGACGGTAACCCTATCAATGACATAGTCATTGAACTGGGTCCACACAACTGCAGGGAAGCCAGAGGTGACCTTCCAGGGCACACTCGGATGGTCAGCCTTTAAAGACTGAGGTGAGGCTGAAGTCACGTAGAAAAATTTGAACAAATACTGATGCTGAAGCTCAATTTTCATGCAACCCAAATAGATGTCTAGGTGTGTGTGTGTGTGTGTGTGTCTGTCTGTCTGTCTAGTTAAGGAAAGCCATACGTCAGGATGTTTCAGGTAAAGAATTGCCCAAGGAGTGGTCAAGAAGGAAGGGAGTCAAAGGGAAGCCAATAAAGCCCAAGGACAGAGTGAAGAAGGCAGCAAAAAATATCGCCAGAGGTATAACATTTCCTCTTTATGTAAAATTACGTGCATGTGCAGAAGAAATTAGGATCAAGACCTGGCCGCACCTGTGCATCTGTAGGACTAACAACAGATAATCCTGTGGGCTTACTGTGTGTCGGGCACTATTCTGAGCACTTTACATGCATTATTATTAACTCCTTTAATCCTCACACCAACCTTGTGATGTAGGTTCTCTTATTATCATACCCATTTTACAGACGACAAAAGGGTGTAGTGCCTAAGGCACTTGACTGCTAACCAGAAGGCTGGTGGTTCAAACCCACCAGCCACTCCTCAGAAGGAAGGTTGAGCAGTCGCTGTGA